AGATAACCTCAGACACACCGCTGTGCAAATACAACCATACACAAACACACACCTAAAACAAAACGGACATGAAGGCCTGCGACCATTACTGCAAACAGAATTGTATGTTCTGCATACACACTGCACCAAAAAACGTGAACTCGCTCACTGTGAAGTAGACATGCAGAAGAGCAATGGTGTGAGACTGAAATCATATCTTTTTTTTTTTGTCCTGAGGTCAGTCATGTAGAAGACATTCATACATTCACAAGCTCAGCTCTTCCCCACATTCCACACGCATGTTTCGGCTGAATCTGTTTCCGCACACACAGTGCTGTGTCTTTTTTAAAGACTGCTCCTTTTGTCCAGAACCGATTCACAGGCTGGATACGCAGCAGCCGGTGGATATTTGACACTATTGTGTAAAGTTGGTGCAGTCCACTGATTTTAGAGCTTCTCCTTCTGCATCAGAATGGTATGAAGTTCGAATGATTCAAAAAAAGTTAATTGAATCCGTCACTGGAAACCATACTGAACATGGGAATCTTCAAATTTAAGTTCATCTAAAATTTTCTTAAGTTTCTGAAAATGGGAAACTTCACATTTAAGTTCATCTAAATATTTCTAACATTTCTGAAAATAGGTAACTTCACATTTAAGTTCATCCAAAAAAAATACATTTTAGTTCCTCTAAACTTTTCTAACATTTCTAAAAACATGAATTTTAGCATTTAACTTAATCTAAATATTTCTACAGTTCTGAAAAGTGGACATTTTTTATTTAAGTTAATCTAAAAATTTCTGAAAATGGGAAACTTCAAAATTAAGTTAATCTAAAAATTTAGCAAATTTCTAAAAATGGAAAACTTCACATTTAAGTTCATCTAAACTTTTCCAACATTTCTGAAAATGAGAAACCTCAAATTTTAGTTCATCAAAAAAAAAATCTACAGTTTCTGAAAACGGGAAACTTCAAACTTTAGTTAATCTAAAAATGTCTAAAATTTCTAAAAATGAGAAACTTCACATTTGAGTTCATCTAAAAATGTCTACAATACCTAAAAATAGGAAACTTTAAATTTAAGTTAAAAATGTCTAAAAATGGGAAACTTCACATTTAAGTTAATCTAAAATATATACAATTACTAAAAACAAGAAACTTCATCTAATAATCAACCCTGAGTTTGAAACATAACTTACCCCAGTTATAGATATGTTTATATTGATAAAACATTTTTAAATTGTATTTTAGAGTATTTTGGGAGATTTACAACTTTTAACCTTTTAATATTATGTCAGCAATAATCTTGCCAAGTTCACAGCTATTGGTGCTTCTCCTTCTAACTGTCAGAAACTGAGCTGGTGTGTTTAAGTAGGTTTTATTGAGACAATTTATTTAATTACACTCACGCCCACATGAGTGAAAAGCACAACCCAGAAGACTAATGCCAATATTAAGAGCCTTCACTTGTGAATCATGCGACTCATGGGAGAGGCTTTCGCTGCGGATCTTCATGTCACGCTTATTTTGCAGACTGGTCAAGAGGGATGAAGAATAAAACGATTGTCTAATATTCATCAACACCAGTCCTGACAACAGCTAGCCCAATTATTGTTTCTGTAACAGGGATTTACTTCATTCGATTTTTATATATAGATTTCCAGAATCACTTTCTGTAAAGTATGAAGTCTGTTACATTTCATTTCTATGTGAGCAGAATATAACCCCTGTCATGCATTTTTCTTCACATGATTTACACTCACTAAAATGTCATCTAGTGTAACAGTAGTTAAAACACCAAAAAGATCTTGTCTATATATTTATAACAAGAGACATTTCATGACATTTTGAATTTGAATTTAGGAATAATGAAACCTCGTGACAATTTATCAGGTTAAAAGGTTTAAAGACTTGTTTTAATTATTATTTTTAAAGTTTACTTTATATGTCATTTTTTATGCTTTAATGAATGAAGGTCAGAATCAATATGTTGCTTATTTTTGTACACAAACATAACAATGTTATTTCATATTAAAAAGTAATAGAATTACAGTAGGCTAAGCAATGTGACAATATAAATGAATGATGTAGGCCAGTGGTTCTCAAACTGTGGTACGCGTACCACTAGTGGTACGCGGGCTTCCTCCTAGTGGTACGCGGAGGAATCGCTGAATAATGAAAGAAACAATTAACACTTTTAATCCTTTAATGCGTAATATAACATTGATGTGATCAGCATTGGCTGTTTTATGAAGCGTACGATCACAACGCTGTGCTTAGAGTGTTTATTTTAGTGCATTGTGTCATAAGCTGCTGAAAATCAGTTTCCGAATTTTAAGAATTGATTCTGAAGCGTGATTTGACTGACATGAAAAGTGGCCAATCACAGTCGACCTTGTCTAGTTGCGTGAAACGTAAGGGCGGGACAAAGGCTTTCTGTGTTGCAGAGACAGAAAAAACAACTTAAAAACAAATGTTTTGTTGGAATAATGCTTCTCGGATGTTTTCACTACAGAGATGTCTAGCAGAGTAATTAAACCGCGGACATATTTCCTGCCTTTTTGATGATCTTCATACACGTTTCGCTCTCCGACAGCCAGTCGACTCGCCTCTGACCTGTCACTCCTCTAAACACAGTCTGAATGGCGGCGCGGGAATGGAGGTATTGCGCAATAACTCATTTCTGCAAATGTGGCGAGTGCTTTATTTTAACACGAGAGCGCATTCATGTACGCAAATCGCTAAAACAGATATGCGAGCTCTTAAATAGGCTTTTTTCAAATGAACTGCAAGTGCTCTCATGATCGCCTGTGTGCTCAGATAGAATACAATCGCGATCTTTCCACTATTAAAGTAGACAATATTTATCTTTGCTCCTTAACTAAATTTAGTCAAAAGTATTCAAAGTTATCAAATATTTAGAAATAGATTGATACATGATCGATGACAATGCTAATGGTCTTCTTATTTGGCTGTATTGTGAAGTGAAACTTACTTTTAGCAAAGGTGGAACATTTTTTATTTCTTTACGACAAAATAATTATGCTGGAAATGTTTCTGGATGAGGTATTTGTGTGATTTATACATTTAGCTGTATTCTGATCTGTCCTAAAGCATTACAGGTCAAAGCAATCCATTGTTAGCCTACTTATTGTTTATTTATCACAATTTACAATAAGGCTCTTAAAGCACTGCTTTGATAAATGTAGTGTCGTCATATTTCAAACACCTCAAGTAAAATGAAGCCATTTGTTTTATTTTTTTACTGACAGTGTACTTGTATTTTTTTACGTTTCTATTTTAGATTAAGATCAAGTGTAAAATAAAATCTACATGTGATGTAAAGCTATTTAAGAAACAAATTTGCCATATTGTAAAGAAAATAGTGTAAAATATGTAAATAAAAGGCTAAATTGAAATCTTTTTACCATATACTTTAATTTAACCTTTCAAAGCTTAAAAATATATATTGTTTAAAAATGGGCAAAAAGTGTCTCTATGGCCTTAAAGATTATTTGGTAGTTTTATCAGTGCTATTGAAAAAGATTAATTGTCATGAAAGGAAAAATTGACTATACTTCCTTTGTTAGTGCAAAATATACATGTAGCTTTGGGATGTAAGCAATCAAACCATTAAATCAGGTTTACACGTAAAAAAAAAAAAAAAGTGATTTCATAAAGAAAATCAGATTTTTTTTCAAAAGTAACCAACTAGTACTTTTTAAAAGAGTTATTTGTACTTTTACCTAATATTATGATTATTTACTAAATTTTTATTTTATTTTAGCAGTGTAATAGTATTTTTACTTGAGTACAAAAAAGATTTCACAAGCACTTAGTGCAGGTTTATTATACTATTAATATATGATTAATAAATATTAATATTAATGGTTTTTATTTGTATCTATTCCTATGCAATGTTTTATGGGTTGCTGAGAATACATTTCAGGTCTTCAATACATAGCATGTCAGTCTTGAAAAAAAAAGGTGCTGGAATTGATTTTCATTAGGCTGTGCCTGTATGAACCCTGTCATGTACATTTAACATTTATTTCAAGATTTGTCTGAAAGTGTATGAATATGACATATAGCCTATATTTATAAGGTCCAAGCAGCATTTCCAGCTTTTGATGAATAGGCTACTATGAATACTTTAGATTTAAGTACAGCAGTTTTCTTTTTACTTTTTAAGAACAGCGCCATTTTTTAATGAACTTTTAAAAGCACATTTTAACTAAAACTTTTTTTTTTATCTGCAGGCACAGTTAATGTTCAGACTATTTCAAATGTTTAAAGTGACTGACAATAATACATATTCTTACTAATAGGAAGTAATCTGCATCGTTTTAAAACTGTGCACACCTGTAGCTGCTTAATTGGGCTTACGACGCTATTTTTTAATACTGGTTAAAAAAATAGCGTCGTAAGGTGGTACTTGGAGAGACGATTTTTTTCTAAGGTGGTACTTGGTGAAAAAAGTTTGAGAACCACTGATGTAGGCTATATGAAATAAAATAATCTCATCATACAACCTTACTATTATTAATGTATTGTGCTATAAAAATATATCAATATTATATTTATTTATGACATCACTACTGCATTGGACAGGATAAAAATATTTTTATTTAACGTTATATCTAATTTATGTCATGCTTTGTAGACGTATCACTAATCCTCCACTAATCAATTCAGCATGTGTACAGTGGTACACTTCTAATAATAGTCAGGGGATGTAGAGGAGGAAACGAGAAGAAAGGTAAGGAAATGCCTGAACCCTTCAGAACCGAGCCAATAATCAGTGATGAGACTGAGGGAGTCAAACACATTACACTGACACTCAACGAGCGCGCACACACAAACGACTTTAAACACAAGCAAAACTACAATAAAGCAACTTGTGTAGGCCTATACAAGCAAATAAACATAAATGCATACATCATGTAACTTTTGTTGTCCGAAACAAACAGAACATCATCGTTATTGCTTAACAATACTGTATGTTTTATATTCAACTTACCTCGGTGAAAAAGTTATCCATTGTCCTTATAATGACGAGTCTCCACGGTCTTCATAGGAGTCCACGAGCCGAACCATAAGTGTCACAGAGCCGAGGGAAAGTGTCATGCAGTCCTGCACTGTATCACTGCATCTCCACACCACTGTTTGCTTCTCTTTTTCTCGCACAGAAACACACGTCTTTGTTTCAGACTATACAGATGTTAGAAACTATCACGCGTCCCGCAGCCAGTCGCGAAAGCAGGGAAAAGTTGGCTCTTTCACGAGCGCAGTGGCACCGGGGCTCGCGCGGCTCTCCGTGACGGGCTATAAAGTCACTTTGTAAGCCGGTGTGACACGCGCCTCGGAGGGCAGCGAGGGCTTCGTCTCCTGCCAAGTTTGTAGTGACTCCAGTTCGAAGCGCTGAGTCGACTCGTCTCGGCTCGCGCTCTGTTGGCTCCGCCCCCCGGCGCGGTTTGAATGGCAAAACTCCAGAAGATCCGATTCCGTAGCCTGTCTGTATTTTTGGTTTGTCTTTCTTTGTCTATATATTTGTCTGTCTGTCTGTCTGTCTGTCTATGTATATATATATATATATATATATATATATATATATATATATATATATATATATATATATATATATATATATATATATATATATATATGCATCTATCTATCTATCTATCTATCTATCTATCTATCTATCTATCTATCTATCTATCTATCTATCTATCTATCTATGCTTCCGTATTTTTGTTCATATATTTGTCTTTCTCTGTCTGTCTGTCTATCTATGTATCTATCTATATATGCATCTATCTATCTATCTATCTATCTATCTATCTATCTATCTATCTATCTATCTATCTATCTATCTATCTATCTATCTATCTATCTATCTATCTATCTATCTATCTATCTATCTATCTATCTATCTATCTATCTATCTATCTATCTATCTGTCTGTCTGACTGTCTGTCTGTCTGTCTATCTACCTATATATCTAACTATCTATAAGAAGTTAGACTCTAACTTCACCACTTGAGGAAGAGAAAGAAACTTTTCATTTTTGAGTGAACTATCCTTTTACAGCTTTTCCTCAGTCGCTTTGGTCCATTTCTCGGGTTCATAATTGAAAAGTGCATTTTTACAAAACAATACTACAAAAATAGCAAAACACCATAGATTATCTGTGAAAGCTAGTCTCTTGCTCAGATTCCTTAATTCATCTGAATCTAAAATTTATAGAAAAATGCATTATGACAAAATATTATGACAAATTATTCAGTCATTTTACATGAAAAGACTTATGTCATGAACAAAATATTAAATGCAGTGGGGGGTGAGACTATTCAGACAGAGACCAAAATAACACATTTTGATCAACATTCATTCAATTTCTTGTCAGCTTAGTCCCTTTATTAATCCGGGGTCGCCACAGCAGAATGAACCGCCAACTTATCCAGCAAGTTTTTATGCAGCGGACCCCCTTCCAGCCGCAACCCATCTCTGGGAAACATCCACATACATTCACACACACACTCATACACTATGGACAATTTAGCCTACCCAATTCACCTGTACCGCATCGCATGTCTTTGGACTGTGGGGGAAACCGGAGCACCCGGAGGAAACCCACGCGAAGGCAGGGAGAACATGCAAACTCCACACAGAAACGCCATCTGAGCCGAGGTTCAAACCAGCGACTCAGCAACCTTCTTGCTGTGAGGCGACATCACTACCTACTGCGCCACTGCTCGCCTTGAGCAACATGGCATAAGCAATTGATAATGTGAAAAACAGAATTGAGAGAATTGCAAATGATCATTTGCATGGATGTAGAAAAGGATTTGCGACCTGTTCAAGTAAATGAGAATTTGCTTTTTTGATGTGCACAAGATGCACAATAATGTGAGGATTGAACATGTAGTTTTGAGGATTTCAGATCTTATCTGAGAAAAGTACCAAAATGATGAGAGGGGTCTGGATGTAAACCTGGTGCAGTTGCAACAGGCTCTACTGACCCCACCCATAACCCCACCCCTCATCACTAGCTCCATTGAGTGCATTGCATCTGACATTTCATCTTTGAGATATGAAATCGCAGCTTGTAAGTTAAGTTTCTATGCAAGACTGCCATCTAGTGGTCATTCGTGTGTTATATGAGCGTGACATACATTTGCTAGAAAGGAAAGGATTTAATGCTATCCATCCACATTTATTTAGATCGCAGAGACTTCCAGTAGATCGGGTATTTTAAGTAACTTGTCAAGTAATTATAAAATAGAACTAGGAAGCAGAAAAAGTAGCAAAGAAATCAACTAGGGCAAGTGATACTATAAATATTACCTTGGGCAAAAAACAAGCCATGCATGGCAATATTAAAAATAAGTTATAATGAAGAAATGTAATGACAAATATAGATATAGGATATAGGATATAAATAAAAGTGGACGGAAATATTATAGTATACAGAAACATTAACGCACACTCCCACAGGGTGCACGAATTGGAAGAATAGAAGAGGCTGAGATTTGACCACACGGGTTAAATAAAATGAGGGGATTCGATAAAAGCAAAAATAAATAAATCAGACTGGAAAAAAATAAAAAATAAACCTTGAGGGTTTGCTGGCAACAACAGGAGAAAGGGTAAAAGATGGACAGGGTCCTGTTTGTGGTTAACATGTAAAAGATACTTTTAAAATTAAGTAAGTAGGTTAAGGTTTATTTATAGAGCACCTTTCACAGACATTAAGTCACAAAGTGCTTTACGTAAAAAAAAAACAGTTAAAAGAAAACATATCAATGAAAGAAAACACATTAAAACATAAATATAATAGAATATCGGATTTATTTATTCATTATTTTTAAGAAGACCTGCTGCATACTTTAATACAGTAGGTGGTGATATGTATCTGAAATGTTATCGATTGCAAGCCGCCAAAACTTAAAAACCAGGAAAAAGTTTCAGCTTAGAGAAATCGAAACTAACCTTTGTTGAAGTGCAGTACACGCCTCACAATCTCTCTCTGAGTTTATTCAGTGAAATGGCAGAATCCAGTGTTTCTTTGGCTCAGGATTGATTTAGCTGTTCAGTCTTCTCAACAGTCTTCAGTCAGTCTTCGAACAAGCGGCCTTCTTGCTGTGAGGCGATGGCACTACCTACTGCTCCACCACGTCACCTGGAGTAAACCAATTCATAATAAATCATAAAATTATTATAAAAGGTTTTATAATTAAAAATATTTTATACATTAGTATTTACTGCAAAGCATCTGTTCCATTTACATAGTGAGACCCATAAACATAATTTCCATTTGTGACCCAAAGACTCGTCAGGAGTTTTTCCAATGTAAGTCTCTATGATCATACTGTAAAAACAGACTTTAAACTGCACACAAGACTCAAAACCTAACACGTAACTTGCTTACCCAAAGTATCTTTAAGTAAGTTATTTAAATTGTAGTCCTTTCCAAAAAGAATGTCGTAATAAATTAAAAACTATACTTTTAACCATGCGGAAAGATATCAAGTAATTCATCATAAAGAGACAATACTCACAAGATGTGCTACACCACCCTTACAAGATGTGCTACACTACATTGTTTTTGGCATTGTTAGACAAATAAAAGCTAGAAGAGGATTGACTAAATGTAGGTATCTACCATAAAAGAAGACAAAGATCTAATAATGATTTTAAAAACTTAATTGTAAAACATTTAATGTGTGACAAGGGCTGTAAACTTTTGTAGTATTTCTGTGTAACACTGACATCTAGTAGCCTCCTTGCTTATATGACTGGGTCATGTTTCAGTTCAGAGAAATCGAAACTAAACTCACGCAGTCGAAGAGTTGAGGATTCCTTTCAGTTTGTGCTGTAAAAAATGGCAGAATCCAGTGTTTGTTTGGCTCAGGAACAGTTCAGCTGTTCAATCTGTCTGGATCTACTGAAGGATTCAGTGGCCATTCCCTGTGGACACAGTTACTGCATGAGCTGTATTTCAGACTGCTGGGATCAGGATGAGCGGAAAGGAGTCTACAGCTGCCCTCAGTGCAGACAGTCCTTCACTCCAAGACCTGCGTTAGGAAAAAACACCATGCTGACTGAAGTGATGGAGAATATCAGGAAGAGAAAATTACAAGCTGGAGATGTGGAGTGTGACGTTTGTACTGGGAGAAAATTTAAAGCTGTCAAGTCTTGTCTGGTGTGTCTGGAATCTTACTGTCAGACTCACTTTCAACGTCATGAAGAATTTCATTCTAGAAAGCGACACAAAGTGACTGATGCCACTGGACGACTGCAGGAGATGATCTGCCCTCTACATGAGAAACTACTGGAGATTTTCTGTCGAACAGATCAGTGCTGTATTTGTTATCTGTGTACAATGGATAAACACAAAAACCACGACACTGTATCAGCTGCAGCAGAGTGGACTGACAAAAAGGTATGTGCTACAGAAATAATTTTATACATCTTTCTAACCCATTTTAAGAAACAGTTTTGATCCCACATAGCTTTTGGGATTGGGTCAACTTTCATTTTAGCTTGCATTTTGTATTCCTGCAGATTCAACTGGCTGAAATGCAAAAAACAACCCATCAGAGAATGGTGGAGAGACAGAAGGAGCGAGAGGAGCTGAGAGCAGCTGTAGAGTCTCACAAGGTGAGTTTTTAGCAGAAGATCAACTGTTGGCTGCTGGAAGAGCTGATTGAGACTCAGTTAGGACTGTCCTGCAGTCAGTCAGTGAGGAGCCCAGTGCTGGAGCATTTGAGTCCCACTAAAGCCCCTGTGGGAAGCAGGCTGTGTGGCAGCAGTAAGAGCTGAGTAAATGACTGATTCTGCTGCTTCTCTCTCTGTGTGTCCTAACAGCGCTCTGCACAGGCAGCAGTGGAGGACACTGAGAGCATCTTTACTGAGCTCATCTTCTCCTTTGAGAGAAGCTGCTCTGAGGTGACACAGCTGATCACAGATCAGCAAAAGGCTGCAGAGGGTCGAGCTGAAGAACGACTGAAGCAACTGGAACAGGAGATTGATGATCTGAGGAGAAGAAACACTGAGCTGGAGCAGCTTTCACACACAGACCATCACATCCATTTTCTCAAGGTAAAAAAGATCTCACAAACAGCACATTGAGCTTAATAAAAGTTAAGTATCTGATTTTCTTATATTCCTGTCGTGGTGTCTTTGTGTAGAGTTTCCAGTCTCTCTCTTCTCCTCCTGGATCTACAGACTCATCCAGCATCACTGTCAGCTCTCGTATCTCTTTTGATGATGTTGGTAAATTGTCTCATCTGAGAAAGAAACTGGAGCATTTCTGCAGAGAAGAGATTGAAAAGATATCTAGTAAAGGTAAATTCAACATTTGCAGACATGGAGAAAAACAATGCACAATTCAGTGATTATAAAATGTTTTATATAACCCCAAAACAGAAAAAGTTGGGACCATATGGAAAACGCAAATAAAAAAGTAAGAAGTGATTTCTAAATTTACTTTGAGTTGTACTTCATTGCAGACAATACAACAAACATTATTAATGTTTTTCCTTTAACAAAACACGTGTATTCCAATTTTGGTTATACATTTTAAAAAAGTTGGAACAGTAAGCATTTACCACTTTGCAATGTTGTGATTCCTTTTCACAACACTTAAAAGATTGAGAAAGTTCAGGGACTGAAGACACCAAGTGATCAAAGGTTTCAAGCAGAATTTTATTGCATTCTTCCTGCAAACAAGTCTTAAGGTGGGCAACAGTACAAGGTTTTTGTTGCCGTATTTTGAGCTTCAAAATGCGCCACGCACCGTCTATTGGAGACAGGTTGAGAATGCAGACAGGTCAGTCAAATACCTGTACCATCTTTCTCAGCAGCCATGGCTTTGTAATGTGAGCAGAATGTGGTTTTGCATTGTCTTGTTGAAATATGCATGGGTGTCCTTAAAAAAGAAGGCAGCTTATTGTGCTCCAAAATCTCTAAGTACTTTTCAGCATTAATGGTGCGATCACAGAAGTGCAAGTTACCTTTGCCAATGGTACTAACACAACCCCATACAATGGCAGACCCTGGTTTTTGGATTGGTTGCTGGTGACAGTCTGGATGATCCTTTCCTTCTTTGGTCCGAAGCCTAGGGCGTCCATTTCTCCCAAAAATACTGATTCATCTGACCAAATTACATGTTTCTACTGTGTGATAATCCATCCCAGATGCCTCCAAGCCCAGAGAAGTTGACGATGCTTCTGGACACTCAACATAAGGCTTCCTTTTGGCACAGTTAAGTTTTAACTGGCATTTGTGTATTTAACTACATATTGTGGTATTTAACAAAGGTTTGCCAAAGTAGTTCTGAGCCCATGTGCAGATATTACTTATAGATGAATGACAATTTCTGATGCAGTGCCGCATGAGGGATCGAAGATCACAGTTGTTTAGCTTAGACTTGCGCCCTTGTCCTTTATGCACTGAAATTCCTCCAGATTCCTTGGATCTTTTAATAATATTATGACTGTTGAAGGTGAAATATCCAAATGCCTTCCTATCCTTCTTTGAAGAACATTGTTTTTATCAATAATTTTCTCAGGTATTTGCATGGCAAACTGGTGATCCTCAGCCCATCTTTGCTCCTAAAGGACTAGACCTCTCTTGGATGCTGCTTTTTTACCAAATCATAATTACAATCACCTGTTGACATCTCTATCATTATTTAACCAATATACCTGATCACTAGCCCTAAACTGCTCTTTCTCCAACTTTTTTGGAATGTATTGCAGGTTTGAATGACAGGAAAGGATGTATATTTACAAATGACATTAAGTTGACCCGACAAAACATGAAATATTTTGTGTTCATATTGTCTGCAATGAAATTCAAAATTCAAAGTAAATTTGGAAATCACAACTTTTCCATACTGTCCCAACTTTTTCTGATTTGGGGATGTAATTAAAAATGATTATGTACAGTATTATTTTGCATTATTTACTTTAAAGCATCTGTTGGTTTCCATAGTGAGAGACATTAACATAATTTCCATCTCTGCTGAACCAAAGACTCGTCAGGAGTTCCTCCAATGTAAGTCTCTATCATCATAAGTGCAAAAAGAGACTTTTAATTCTTATTGAATATCAAAAGTTTAAACTGCACACAATACTTTTTTTATACAAGACATTTTTTTTATGTGCCATTTAATACAGATTTTCTGATTTGACTCTAATGGTAAAACATGCACACATTGGTATGTTGCTTTGGAATGACAGTTATTGTGGAAAACGCTATACAAATAAAATTGAACTGAACTGAATTAAACAATGGCCAATTTAATTTAATTAGCTTTGGCGGATATATGAAAATACATTTAAGATAACTTTTAGCTTAGCTGTCTGTTATATGATAGATCTGCTAAAATCAACAAAAAAAATTATCAGCTTTTTACTTTTTTTTTTTTATCAGTCAACTCAAAACACAGAAATAAGATAGCATAAAAAAAAACCCACCAACATGAGAAAATTGATTACAGGAAGGCCGGTGTTTAACCTAAATTACCACTGTAAGGACCTTTGTCCACTAAAGAGTATTTATACTTTCATTGCACACAAAATCAAAATGTGATAAACTTTAGACGTTTTATATTTAATACTGAATGTCATGTTTTACTTATTAAATGCAGATTATGTTTTTCATCTTAATCAGATTCCAGGCAGCTGACTTTTGATCCAAACACAGTGAATACGTCCCTGGTGTTGTCTAAAAAGAACAGAGTGATTGAATACACTGACAAAGTTCAGCAGTATCCTGATCATCCAGACAGATTTGATTGTTGGCCTCAGGTGTTGTGTAGAGAGAGTGAGTGTGGACGCTTTTACTGGGAGGTTGAGTGGAATGGTTATATAGAAATATCAGTGTCATATAAGAGCATCAGCAGGAAGGGACGTGGAAATGAGTGTGTTTTTGGTTGTAATGATCAGTCCTGGAGTTTGTTCTGCTCTAGATCCAGGTTTTCATTCAGGCACAATAAACAACAGACTAAACTCCCAGTTCTGTCCATCTCCTCTAGAATAGGAGTGTATGTGGACCACAGTGCAGGAACTCTGTCCTTCTACAATGTCTCTGACACAATGAGCCTCATTTACAGAGTCCACACCACATTCACTCAGCCGCTCTACCCTGGGTTTTGGGTTTTTGCTGGAAGCATCTTGTTCACAACTGACACTGTGATCTGACACTGATGTTGCAGATATTCTACAAACAACACGAACCATTAGAGATTCTCATGTCTTTTTTTATGCTAGATACTATTAACACAGCCCCCTTCTCCAACACCTTATCCCTTCCAGTTGCAAAATTAACAAATAAGCACTAATGATAATAATAACAATATGGCAGGGAAAAAAAGTTTTGTATTTTAGTATTTTTTTTATGTAACATGAAATTGTGAACAACGACAAAGAAATAATACAATGTTTAGCTTGTTTTGTCTGTGTAGCCAAAACTTGCCATTTCCAAAATATATCATGGGTTTTCTATAGTACTAATTTACATAAAGTACATTGTTACTATGTTAAGAGCATAATTATGATTTGTTGAAATATTTTAGTCCTGTAATGAGTTCCTGTTTTTCATAAAATATATGTGTTTTGTACAGTAAATAAATATATGTATGCTAGCTTTGAGCAGCATTAAACAGTCAGTGTACATAAATGCCATGTCAGATTGAGCTTTTGTTTCATATTTGCAGCATGGACGAGACTTTTGTTAATACCATTTAACTGGAAACCAGTGATCTGATTGAATGAAATAATTGGTTAAAAATAGGTATTTAAAATAAAAACACAAAGACTTAAAAAATTGACTTTAAAATTGTTTAAATCAATTCAAGGGAGCAAATGTTGTCTATTAAGTAAAATCTGACCTTAATGTGAACCAAATCCTGTATTCTCTGTACATCACCGTGCATTATGGCTTTCTTTATGTTTAGCACTGCTTCCACCTGAACAGTCTCTATAAAACAAAAGAAATATCAAATATGATCAAAAAATAAAACAGTTTGATATAGTATACATTAAATAAATCATTAACAATTTTATTGACAAGATGCATTGATGTTTACTATTTATTTTTGACACTTTTCCTTCACCTCACAGAACTAAAACATTTAATTGGATTTTAAAATTATATTATTAAGCATTGACACTTAGGGCCTACTCACACTATGCCATCCGTACCATGCCCAGGCCCGTTTCCCGGATCGTTTGAGAAGTGTGAGTGCGCTGAATCGAGCTCAAGCACTGTTCACTTGGCCGGCCCTGGCCCGGTTGGAAGAGGTGTGCCTGAGTGCGGTTCAATTGGGCTTTGGCACGGTACGCTTGTGTGTGAGTGCAAAACGCGCCAAAGCCCAAAACTGAAAGCGAGACGTGACTTTTAAGGGGCTGTTTTATATGGATTTATTAATCATTCTTACTGTTCTGTAAACGCAAACTGCCGTAGTTTATTAAAGACGCAAACCCCTCACTGCATGACAGCTGCGTGCCTTCAGCAGACCTCCTCGTTCCTGCAGCACGAGAGCTTTATGATTGTTTATGAGCGAAATATCTGACTGTGTGTCACCGCATCGCTAAGGACTGTTTGGTGAAATATTTGTCTGCAATCTCACTGCATATCAAATGACAGAAACGATATAACTAAAGAAATCTCCACTGCACTGCTGAGTAAGAGTGCTTCTCACTGAACAGCGCAGCAGCGATGACGTAAGCGTACCGAGGCCCGTTTGTGGTGTGAGCGCGGGCCGTCAGGGGAGACGGGAGGGGGGACAAGCATGCTTTGGCCCGGTTTGAGGCAACTGTACCTAGTGTGAGTACGGCCTAAGGCCGATTTAAGGGGCACCTATTTTACCACTTTTCAAGATTTAAGATGCCTTTTGTGTCTCCAGAATGTGTCTGTAAAGATTCAGCTCAAAACACTGAACATTAGAATTTTCTGCTCTATTTTCCGCCTTGGCTGCATCAGATAAACAGCACAGTGACAGACATGAAGGAAGCAGATCTCACGTAATGTTTGTGAGAAATACTACAGTAAGAACTTTACCATTATATATTTGATGTATTTGTTTTCAAGCTAATTCAAGCCTTTCTGCAATGATGAGTCACACACAATGTCGTCAACAAAGTTCACGTGCACACATACATACACAGCGGACACACACACACAGCGCGTGCGTTTACCTTTGCTCTGTTTTTGCACACAAATGTGACAGCATACATGTTAATATCCACTGCTATATGGACATTCGTTATGTTAATGTACAAAATAAACCTGATTTAACGTCCACAAACTGGGATTGAAGTGTCTTCTTTTATAATTGTACTGACATGTGGCTGTTGTGATAAAGACGATAAAATCACTAATTCATTACAAACATGCACTAGCTGTTTTAAAAGCATTTTAAACTTGTAAAACTCATTCTTAATCACATTTGATGATGATTACAGCAAGTTAAACAAATCTTTTTATTCCAGTTGCTTTGCGCATGTCTTGTCCTGTTGATATGATTACATGCATTACTACGGAGACATGTTAAAATGTGGCTGTCAATCAATTCATTGGGCGTGGAAACCTACATTAAGTTGCAGTCAGCTTCAAAATGGGAGGGATCTGGATCCTATTTTAACATCAGAAAAAAAAGAATTATTGTCTTTATATCACCCTAATATGACAATGGAGACACTATACCTACACACAGTTCTGCCCAAACAGCTGACAAAAGATGATTTCCATCATAGATGCCCTTTAAGTTGTTAAAATTATCTGCGATTTAATGTTTTCATATAGTGTTTGAGCTGATAATCAAAGTTTAAATGTGTATAATCAAAAGGAGGAATCCATTTTTATTCTCTTGCCAAGAGATTTTTCACCATCTACATACACAACAAGATCATTTGCACAGCCTGCATGTGGTTCCGTTTGAAAAGCACTGCAGATATTATAGAGATTCATGGGAGTAAAGGTAACTCATAAATTTCTTGATGTTTAAACTTTGAACATTAGTCTTAACACCACTCCTACCTTCAATGTGATTTATTACTTTATTTTTTGACTTCCTGCTCAGTGTTGAGGAGAATTCAATGGCTTTGTGTTTCTATTTCTATGGTCTAAGCTATTTTTGAGCTTCTGTATTTAGTAAAATGGCAGAATCCACACTTTCCTTGGCTCAGGATCAGTTCAACTGTTCCCTCTGTTTGGAGCTGCTAAAGGATTCAGTGGCCATTCCCTGTGGACACAGTTACTGTATGAGCTGTATTTCAGACTGCTGGGATCAGGATGAGCAGAAGGGAGTCTACAGCTGCCCTCAGTGCAGACAGACCTTCACTCCAAGACCTGCTTTAGGGAAAAACACCATGCTGACTGAAGTTGTGGAGAAACTCAAGAAGACCAAACTACAAGCTGCTCGTCCTGCTCAGTGTTACTCTGAATCTGCAGATGTGGAGTGTGGTGTTTGTACTGGAGATAAAAATAAAGCCATCAAGTCGTGTCTGGTGTGTCTGAACTCTTACTGCCAAAATCATCTTGAACAACACGAGAGTTTCTTCAGAGGTAAAAGACACAATCTGATGGACGCCACTGGACGACTGCAGGAGATGATCTGCCCTCAACATGAGAAACTACTGGAGTTCTTTTGCCGTACTGACCAGCGCTGTGTTTGTTATCTGTGTACAATGGATAAACACAAAAACCACAACACTGTATCAGCTACAGCAGAGAGGACTGACAAACAGGTATGAAATTATGCAACATAATGCGTCTTCATGTGTAATATCTACATATTTAAAGTTTGTATGAACAATTCTTACTAGTGATAAATGTAGTTTTTCTGTTAACGAATCAGTTACATATTATGCACTCTATAGAGTCAGTTGGCTGAGATGCAAAAAACAACCCATCAGCGAATCGAGGAGAAACAAAAGGAGTGTGTGGAGCTGAGAGAGGCTGTTGAGTCTTACAAGGTGAGTTTTGAGCAGAAGATCACCTGTTGGCTGCTGGAAGAGCTGATTGAGACTCAGTTAGCACTGTCCTGCAGTCAGTCAGTGGGGAGCCCAGTGCTGGAGCACTTCCAGTCCTACTGAAGCCCCTGTGGGGAACAGGCTGTGGGAGGCAGCAGTAAGAGCTGAGTGAATGACTGATTCTGCTGCTTCTCTCTCTGTGTGTCCTAACAGTGCTCTGCACAGGCAGCAGTGGAGGACACTGAGAGGATCTTTACTGAGCTCATCCGCTTCATTGAGAGAAACCGCTCTGGGTTGACACAGCTGATCAGAGATCAGGAAAAGGCTGCAGTGAGTGGAGCTGAAGGACGACTGGAGCGACTCGAACAGGAGATTGATGATCTGAGGAGGAGAGACGCTGAGCTGGAGCAGCTTTCACACACAGACCATCACATTCATTTCCTCCAGGTAACACAGATCTGCAAACAGCACAGTGGAAGAGCATGTTGTGCAGAGATTGTGTTTCTGTCAGATGTTTGTGTGTCTTTAGCTGCTGTTTTTGTTGTGTCTGTGTAGAGTTTCCAGTCTCTCTCTGCTCCTCCTGGATCCACAGACTCATCCAGCATCGCTGTCAGCTCTCGTCTCTCTTTTGAAGATGTTGGTAAATCTTTGTCTCTTCTGAGAGAGAAACTGGAGCATTTCTGCAGAGACGAGTTAGAAATTATATCTGACAGAGGTAAGCCTTACATTTACAAGTGTCATATGATGTCATGGGTGCCGCGGTGGTGCAGTGGTTAGCACTGTCACCTCACAGCAAGAAGGTCATTGGTTTGAGCCTCAGCTGGGTCAGTTGGCATTTCTGTGTGGAGTTTGCATGTTCTCCCCGTGTTCACGTGGGTTTCGTTTGGGTGGTCTGTTTTCCCCCTCAAGTCCAAAGACATGCGGAATAGGTGAATTGGGTAAGCTAAATTGTCCATAGTGTATGTGTGTGAATAAGAGTGTATGGGTGTTTCCAGTGATGGGTTGCAGCTGGAAGGGCATCTGCTGTGTAAAACATATGCTGGATATGTTGGTGGTTTGTTCTGCTATGACAACCCACTAAGCGACTAAGCCGAAAATGAATAATTGAATATGATGTCATATCAAAGGCTTCAAAAGTACTGTATATGATTCCTAATTTTCGTAATAATCACAAATAATTGTATTGCTTTGAAAATAAATATTATGCATGCCACTGAAAGTATAACAAAGTACTGTATAGCCATTGTAGTCAAATTAAAATTAATCTTTGTGAAGTATTCAGGAAAATAATAATAATAATACATTATTTTAAAATATTGACTATTGAATGTTGTTTCTCTTCCATAGTTACAAACATAAACATAATTCCCACCTCTGAGCCAGAGACAATTGAGCAGTTCCAACAATGTAAGTCTTTATCTCGAAATATAGAAACCTACATGCAATAGCTCTGGTGTTTAATTTGATGATTAAAAGTCAGATGGATATTATGCGTTTTATCTTCACCAGATTCCCGTCAGTTCACTTTGGATCCAAACACAGTGAATAATTACCTGGTGCTATCTGAAGATAACAGAGTAATTGATGTCATTCGAACATACCAGCAGTATCCTGATCATCCGGACAGATTTAATGCTTTTCTTCAGGTGTTGTGTAGAGAGAGTTTGTGTGGACGTTGTTACTGGGAGGTGGAGTGGAGTGGTTGGGTTGGTATATCAGTGTCGTATAAGAGCATCAGCAGGAAAGGACGGAGAACAGATTGTGAGTTTGGATGTAATGATCAGTCATGGAGTTTGTACTGCTCTGACTCCAGATGCTCGTTCTGGCACAATAACCAACCGACCAAACTGCCAGTAGTGTCCAGCTCGTCAAGAATAGGAGTGTATGTGGATCACAGTGCAGGAATTCTGTCCTTCTACAGCATCTCTGACACAATGAGCCTCATTCACAGAGTCCACACCACATTCACTCAGCCGCTCTGCCCTGGGTTTTGGACCTTGGATAGGGCCTGATTCAAAAATGAAACTTCACAATTTAAAGATAAAAGAAATATAATGTTTATTTCTTTAACTCTGGATTATCTCCACTGTAAAAAGAAATGAATACACAATTAACAGTGTTCCAGTAGCTCAAATGAGAGAGAATGACCCGAACAACATACAAGTTATGAGTTTAATTCTAAGGGAATGTATTGACAGATAAAATACATACCTTAAGTGCAATAATGGTTGCTTTGGTAAAAGTGTCCTCCAAACATAAATGTAGGCTCCAGATAATCAATATTTCCTAAGGAAAAGAAGAATGAATGCTTGAACAACAAATTGATATAGTAATTAAATTGTTTCTATTATATTCTATACATGATCTGTTATCTCTTGTTGATCTATTAGTCTCCACTATACATGACAGCAAATACATAATACAAAAATAGCAAACACATTACATAATATACACAAAAATACACAATATGCACACAGTGCCTTAGTATCAGTGTAGCTGAGATGTGGATAAAGTGCAGTGCAGTGTAGGTGGTACGGCTACTGGTGGTGTTAATGGTTGGAGCTCAGCTGACTGCCTGTGAGAGAAGCTGTTATTTCATGTTAAAGGCACATGTAAAGAACCTTTGCCATACAATTTAAATTACTGAACCTAGACATAAGAGCCTGAAAAAATACTCATTATAGAGAAAATTTTCAAATGTAATGTAATGTGTATTTTATATCAAATATCACTTGATCTAATTATACCTATATCTAATTATACTAATTATAATTTATTTTGGTCAACTCCAAACCTCCGATGTTTTATTTTATAGCTGAAAGTGGCAAGCATTAATTCATCAGATACTTAACAGCTCACTTTTGCTCCAGACAGCAGATTTTTTGTTAATAAAAGCAATTCACACATATTTTAGATCTTGGTATTTTTATTAATCAGGAGTGAATAACTGCATCCATATTTTATACATGAATTAACCTTAATATTGTTTTTTTTTAATCTGCTAATATTTGTGGATTAATGTGGTCATCGTTCCTTATCTGTTGAGGCATTTTAAACTAAACCTAACTTTATTAAAAACCATGTAGCTTTTTTCTCTTTTTTTAATTTTCAGATAGATTAAGAGTAAAATGTAATATAATGTAATGTGTTAACATTAGTTTGTTGAATGTATGTTGAATGGCAATATCCAGCTTAAAACACATTTTAATTCTACACGTATTTGTACAATGTTTTAAATATTGCTGTGTAGCTCACATGTGAAGTTGTGCATCAAACTATGATCATATTTCTAATAAACTGGATAACATGACCTTTTATTGTCTCAATCATGGTTTCTGCACTGCATGGCAATACTACATTCACTAAGGCAATCAGGGAGGTAATAATCATATGATTTTCACAAAGATCACACAACTCATTTTACACAACTGACCATATACAGTGCTTAAATAAACGAAGACAAAAGGTAAAACAAACGAAAAAAATTAAAAAACAAAACATTTTAAGAACCACCTAACTCGACAGGAACAATTTCTGAGAAAAAAATCCTAATTTATTTGCCTCACGTCCCATTCGTTTTGCAGAGAAGGCATGTTTGTGACCAGTGGGCAACTGCAATGTTTTGATGTCACGGATGTGTGATGTACATTTTCTTGGAAGTACAGTAAAGAACAGAGCTTTATTTTTGTTCCTGTACTAGCGTTTTGCTCTCTTTGTGGCTTTTCGGGTGAGCGTATTATACATGTTGATTTTTTGACTAATACATTTTTAGATAACTTGCATACTGTATACATATATTTTATATGAAATATACATAAACATGTTCTCATATGCATGTGTATTTATATATGAAATACATAAAACACATAACCTTTATTTTGGATAAATCAATTCATTGCAATGAAGCACTAATCATTTTGCAGAATTTACTATAATGCATCTGTTGGTTTTCATAGTGAGAGACATTAAGATAAGACCAGCCCTTAACTAAATACCCAATCAGTTTCTTTGGTTAAATATGTACTTTTTGTTTTCTTGTTGTTTTTACTATATCTTATCAGTCAGAACCCGAACTAAGTTGCTGAAAGAACATATGCTTTGCTATAAAAGTGAAATTACTGAACCTACACATAAGAGCCCAACTCCGCCGTGGTCAGTCACAAGCCCAGATGAGAAAGGAGGAGGGTTGGTATTGGGGTTAACAACCCCACCCAGTAAAAAGAACACCTGTTATGACACTTAAACCAAGCCTCGGAATCCGAACTGATTTACAACGACAACAACACATGCTACGAAAAGGAAAAACAAAAGGACACGTAATGGTAATAGCAACATTGAATGTGGACAGTTTGTACCGTCCTGGAGCCCTGAAGAATCTGGTAACAGAATTGGGTAATAACAAAGTTGATGTGGCGGCTCTTCAGGAGATAATATGGAAGACACCTGACATCCTTAAAACAAAGGATTATACTGTTTTCTATAGCGGGAATACAACACATACCTTCGGAACTGTGTTAAGGAAAGTGTACAAGCTAAAGCCAGAAGAAAAGAGACATCAGGTCATGGAAGAGGTGGTTGGACCCATAGAAGATCTACATTTGCTAGGAGTGTGTGCTTGGAGAAATCGAGCATTGATTATGGAAGGCTGCAGGGGAGTGGTTAAAAAGGACAAGGCTCTACAAGGGCCGAAGCGCCGCTGGAAGAAGAAGACATAGGAACCTGAGAAAAATACCAATTTTAGAAGAAAACTTCATATAGAGGTTTTTGTATCTGAAATCATCATAATTATAAGTTCTGCTGGTCAACTCCAAACCTCAGGTGTTTTATTTTACAGCTGAAAGTGCACTGTAAAAAATGCAGGGTTCCACACAATGCATTCATGTTGTCCCAACACAAATCGATTAAGGTACAGTAACTTAACACTTTTAACAAATTCATGTGGATTGAACCTAAACAAATTAATTTGTCGCAATGAAATCGCAAGAATTGTGTTGAATCAGCTTATTTTAAATAAGTAGTTTGAACAAGCAAAATATATATACATATATTTTGGGGTGTGGTTAAACACTGATTATGTATCTTCGTCAGATTCTCATCAGTTCACTTTTGATCCAGACACAGTGAACAACAGACTGGTGCTGTCTGGGGGAAACAGTGATCGAAAGCACTCAGATCAGCAGTACCCTGATCATCCAGACAGATTAGATTTTGCTTAAATAGCACGCTTTAAAAATGTCTGGGTTCCACACAATACCTTCATGTTGTCCCAACACAAATAATATAAGTTAACTTAATTGTTTTATGTTCAATTCACTTAATTTATTTTGTAAAAAAAAATCATAAGAATTGCATTGTTTTATTTCATTTTAAATAAGTATTTTGAACAAGCAGCAAAAGTCATTTTTTGAGTGTAAGGTGATTGTATATCAACAATGTCGTCATAAATATTTCAAAAACATCCTTGTCTGAAGGTGCATCAATGTTTAAAGTAAACAGAAAACATTTCTTCCTCTTACAAAACAAAATAATGACTCATTTAGCTCTGACTGCTCTTTATATTTGGACTGTATGTATTGTACATGCAACAGCAAGACATGTTCAATAAACTGCACCTATCAGTAAAAATCTGAGTTTTAACAATATTGTTACATTACAAAGACTCTGAATTTATAAAAGCATTTGTATTTAATTCACAACCCTAAAATGATACAAGGGCGACATGGTGGCGCAGTGGGTACTGCTGTCGCCTCACAGCAAGAAGGTGGCTGGTTCAAGCCCCGGCTGGGTCAGTTGGCATTTCTGTGAGGAGTTTTTATGTTCTCACTGTGTGGGTTTCCTCTGGGTGCTCAGGTTTCCCCCACAGTCCAAAGACATGCTCTAGGTGGATTGGGTAAGCTAAATTGTCTGTAGTGTATGTGTCCTGGTCCTCTAGGCGTGGACTTGAGCGTTGGGCTAACAACCCACCCACCTCATTAAAAACTAGATGGTACAAAACACCAACATGGTGCGGCTATATATTTATTTATTTATTTATTTTTTCTTAAATTTTGCGTTGTTGTTTTTTTTTAATTGCTTTTCAAAAACATAAGAATTTAGGCCAAACTCAATCCAAACATAATCTTGCACAAACTGACTGAGACATGTCAGATATATGTAAATCCAATACAAAACCATAGAATTAGATAAAAAAAACATACAAATAAACAAACAAACAAAAAAATGTACAAAATAACTTAACACAAAAGAACAACATACCGTGCAGACATTAAACAGAAACTCTGTATAGGGGTTAAATAAAGCTTTATCCTAGATACAAATCATACTATTGTTTAGCCTTCTCACCCTTCATTATTTTTAAAGTTCAACATAGGTGGCAAACTTCTTTTTAAACACAATCAACCGAGGAGATGTTTTCAAAATTTTGCATTTGTGGATGAAGAATTTAAGTAAAATGAGTAAACAATTTACAGTTCAGTCATCATCTTTGCTGTCCAAATGAACTGCAGATTTCACAATGTCCCAACAAATAGAAGGAAACCTTGGAATTTATTGTTTTATCCAGTTGTCCACATCAGACCAGAAAGGATTGACCAAATTACTATGAAGAAATAGATGATCAACAGTTTCAGTATTGCAGAATTGGCAAACATTACAATTCACATAAACCTTTTTCTTAGAAACTCCTTTGCAGGGTAAATATCATACATCATTTTAAAATGTATTTCTTTGTATTTTGGAGGAAGAGGATTTTTTTAACTAAATTCTTATTAAAAGGTTGGAAAATATCATTTCTTTTAATAGGACCAGGATAGCATTCCTGTATAAGACACTTTCTAATAACCGTATTTGTACATTTCTTGTGCGGCTAAATATCAGCTTCGATATAAATGGCCCAGAGTGAAAGCAAGTAAAATGATACAAACTTTCAATTTTCCAATGGTTACTGTAGTTTCATTAAAAATCATTTTGTTAATTGTGTATTGTAATAAATGTTATTGTCCTTTTTTTCAAGTGGAAAGTTTGAGCTGTTACAATATATTAAATAAATAACTGAAAAGCAAATATTTCAGAATAAAGTTAAGGTTCAAGTATGCACTGAAACTATGTACTCAACTTGGCACATCTTTCACATGTATACTATAATTTTCGAAGCAGATTTTAAAGAATATATTTGATTTAACTGTCCGTATGTGTGTACGCTGCCTTACACCAGCCGCCAGAGGGCGCGCAAAGTCAAAACAAAAAAGATTTATTATTAGTCACTTCATTCTCCCATTCGCACAAGCGTGATTGTGCTTGGCTTATATCTCCATATTAGCTTCTAAAAGTTGAATGAAATAAATGAAATATCCAGAATTCATTAAACACTGACCTGCGTTGCAGTTACTGTACAAACAAAGGCTATGGTTAACATAGATTACTTATTAAAACAATCCAAAAATAACTTATTTTGGTAACTGTTTTTTATCTAATAATTAACAAAACATTTTTTTTTCTAATAAGTTATTGTAGTTGATCACGGTGCGCGCGCCGCTGTGTCACGTCGTCAGTGGCTCGCATCGCGTCGCGCGCCCCCGCCCCCCCAAACCGAATACGAGTGTGCGCGCGAGAAATGCAGCGCGAGACACACACTGAACAGCCCCGTTAAACCCCGCCGAATCCACGCGCACGGGAAAAAAGACACTGGGAAAAAAACTGCAGCAGCTTCAGAAAGGAGTGACAAGAAAGTCCACCGCCGACGGTAAGAGTATTTCACTCTTTTAGTAGATTAAATGAACTCTCAGAATCAGTTACAAGAGGAATTTGTCTAGTTGGAGCGCCTCTGATAAATTAGAACAGCTCCCATTTGGAGAGACGGAGCGCGCAGTAGTGAACCGGGGGAATATCCTAACCAAGCGCGCATTTTAAGCATGCCATTTATTTGATGAATAGAGGAATAATGCATCTGTGCTAATCTGATTTCTGAGATGCACATAAAGATGTCAAGAAATTAGCCATGGAATTCAAGCTTCTGAACTGAGTGGAGAGGGGCGTGTACTGAACAGAGAAGCGCTGTCTCTGCGCGTGCATGCACTGTCTCTTATGCACTGTTCGTTTCCATCAATAAAACAAAAATGTCAAAGGAAAATACATTTGAGTAATTAATAAACACTGGGACAACGCGTAATGCGTAACGCATCGATTCTTTTGCGCAAACTGACAAAGTTACAAAATTTTCAGATAAGTCATCATTTTACACGTGGTAACAATGGGTTTCATCACAAATACATAAAAAATGCTGCGTTTTCTTGTTTATACACGCGGATTAATGCCCATCGTCCTCTTTTGTCAAAGCTGGCACACATTTTGCAGCGCTGTCTAACTGGTGCACACGCTTGCGCGCACACTCACCCATCCACCCACACACTCTCACATATCCACAGATATCACAAAGCTGACGCTTATAAATAATATACAAAAGATAAGTCAATTTAATAAATTCATACGTCTGAGCACTTTTGATATTTTCTGACCCTAAACAGTGCCAAATATACAATTATTGTGTCTCTCACTAACGTAAAGCAAACACGATTTAAGTCTTTTTCAGTTCTGTCTCAGTGTGCCTTTTATGGTAGTATTTATTTTGTGTTTATTCGTTATTCCAAGCTGCCACCGTAATTGCCCAATCCTTTGTCTCTGCAAAGCACATGCGCATTGCGCGTTGGGTGTGGATGGTCCACTGATGCTTTTACCCTGTAAATCTTCACACTTGCTCATTTTGCTTTGTTTTACAATGCGCAAGTGGGTGCCTACAGAATTTTAAATGCTTTTGCAACCGTCTTTATTACTATTTCGTTTGTGGAAGAACCTATTTTACGTTTCACGGTGATGCCGCAGACAATGAACCGAGTGACCGCGCGCTCGCTCCCCGTGAGTGAAAAAAAGAGCGCTCAGACCCCCGCATATTGAAATCAGACAGTGTTAAATGTCTCCGCCCAATAATCACGTCTATGTTTTTTCCCCCGGATAAGAGCCCATTTTATGAGTCTGAGGTGAGTTTGCGAGAAGGAGCGGGCGGTGTGATGAGCTCCTCACGTTCACAAGCACCAGCTTGAATGAGTCACGCGTTTCAACCTGGAAACATCAGCTCAAAACCAGAATATGCGCTTATTTTACCTGAACAGTTTTGTCTGTATAAAGGCATATTTCACCCCAAAATGAAAAGTTGCTGTTAATTTATTCTCGGTTCAAGATGTAAGTCTACCTGCACTCTGAGTCAAACAACTAATACAGGCAAAACAAAATTAATACAGCAGTCCCTGCAGATACACTGAGGTCTTTTGAAGACTGAGACTAAACATTATGACTTTAATCCACTGTCTTAGCAATCGTTTCTGAATACGTTCACAACATTAAAAGCGTCTAATCGCAAAATGGTAAAAAGTAGTTTGTGCTTGACTTATTCTGAAGGCTGGAACCTATAACCAGGAGCGGACTCAGTGATTTGGGGGCCCTAATTCCAGGACCCTAGCTTTAAAATTCAAAACACTCTCTTTCATTGTAGATATTTTTTCTCAATAGATTCAGCTTTTTAAAGTAAATAAACTGCATGTTAAAATATTAAGTGGAACTTTAAATGTAAATTAAATACAGTAAATTCACAAATAAACAAGCTTACAAGCTATAATCTATAGCTGTGTTTGTGATAAGATTTTAATATTTGCATGTGCAGTACATGAGAAACGCTCCACATTTTATGAGGGTCCTCGGTTTAGAAAAGTAACAACCTTAAAATCTTAATGGTTATAGACAGATTTTACAACATATGATAGAAAAATTATGAAATAGCTTTAGGATTATTAATATAGGCTTCTTGGCTCTGGCTGGGGCCCTTAGCGGCTGCTTCCCTCGCTTATTGGTTAAGTCCACCCCTGCCTATAATATTATGTTCACATATGCCATCCCAATGGTTGAAATGTCTTTATTATACTTCATGACTTTCATCACAAATGTTTGCACTATGTAAAAGTTGGGTTGCCGAAACCCAAAATTGGGTCAAATATGGACAAACCCAATGTTTGTGTAATTTTTGTTAATTAAATTTAAGGTTTATGCTAATAAAATATTAATATTTACTGAAGAAAAAAATGCTGGGTTGTTTAACCCCAAAATGGACAAACCAAACAGTTGGATACAATTATTTGCTTTAAATTTAGTTTGAAAAAATATTAACCCAACACTGAGTTGGTCCAAATTTGACCCAATATTTGGTTAAAACTTTTTTTTTAAGAGTTTATATCTGATGGCCTGTCATCATAAAGTAGTTAACAATAATTTAGTAACAATCTTTGAGTGAATTCTCCATTTAAATGTACCACGCGCTATCCGCAAGAAACCACATGGAGCCTACATTGTGTATATATTTTTCAATACTGGTATTGAGCATTGATTTTCAGTGAACTGGAGTGATGACAGAACATTGGTATAACCGTTGCTACACCTCGGAAATAACATCTCCCTGTCTCTCTCTTCCTCTGTGTAATAGAGATAAATGAATTGCTACATCAGTTCAGGTCTCATTTATTTGTCCACTGAATTTGTATAATGCAGAAAAGCCTGAAGGCCAGTCATGCAGGAGCCACTCACTCACCAAAAACCTTATTAACCCAGCATGAGTGAGCGCCAGCGCTTACAGATCTGCACCTTTGCTTCTGTGAGCTGAATGAGCAATAATCTTGAATAAATTTATGTTCTAGAATGTCAGATTTATGTCAATGTGAAATGCCCAGTTTTTAATGTACCATGTGAAAACTGAGAGGAAGAAAATTTACTGTCTATTGAGTTGTCCATTATTGCAGATGCATGTAAGAGCAGAAACAATGTTTAAATCAGTGCATGTTTGTTTTTTGCATACCAGTTGAGGAAGAATGTTAGTTAACATTATTTGTCCCAGTAAGGAAATTTCATGTGCAGCATACATTCACAGAGACATCCGATATTTCACATTTGGCATATATAAATAAATAATAAAATAAACCTAAAGTACCATTGTACCCATACTTTAAATAAATACCCAGTATACTGGCCGCCAACTCCTTTCGAAAGAGGATAATTAAAGAATGGACCTTTATTTTAATATAATTTTAAAGGCAATATGAAATTCAAATTAATATTTGACAATAAAAAAAATATATATGAATAAATCACAACAATCAATTATTAAAACTATTAAAATATATGTAATTAATTTCATGTATTTCCTTTAAAAACAAATCAATAGAAATCACTATTAAACACTGCAATCATACTGTACTGTAAAATAAAAATATATGAATAAAAAGTCATTACTATGATTATTGGTTATTAATGTCATATTTGAGAAGATTAATATAATAAATGTACCCCATAACAATGCAATTTACACCAATCACAGTTATCCTTTACTTTTAGAATTATATACACATACAGTATAAGATCGTATATATATATATATAAGTCATATACACAACAATAACATTATAAAATGAAACATATTATAAAAATCAAAATAATAAATTATTTAAATATTCTGTCATTAATTGTATACATTTTCTATAAAAATAATCAACATAAACCACTGTCAATAATGCTGCAATCATACTATTGCACCGAAAAATATAACATAATTTTTAATGAAATATTTGTTAAAAATAAATTTTTATTATTAATATAACATAAATATACTTATTGGTTATTAATTACATTTAGGAGAAGATTCTATCTAAATTCTATATAAATGTACTTTATATTAAGTGTTTTACGCAAATTGATAAATTTTACGCCGGAGATAATGGATCAGCTGATCACCGTGGCCGTGTAGCATTAGTGTCCATGTTACTGTGTTTGCTGAACAGTGCCAGAGCTGCACTGGCCGTTAGAGCCAATCACAGCCTTTTCTGTTGAGCGTGTACCAGTGTTTAAAAATCTCGCTCAACAATGCTCAAAAAGCAAGCAGGATAATATTTACATTAGTTTATTTGCTATATTTGCTCATGTTGTTCTGTCCATGTACATGAGTTTAAATTAATACATTCAAAAAGAGCAGGTAAAGTTAAAGGTACAGTTTATATATCTTACTGCTTACATTAAAGGACAAAACTATATTACAAATAAAATATAAATATATTTATAACTTATAAATTTTGATACAAGATATATTGTGTTGCTAAGTAAAATCTCTAATTTTTTTATGGAAAGCATCAAATCAATTAAATCAAATCAATGACATGAAAATCATAGCCAAAACTGAACTTTGAGATCAGTGTAAGTTTACACCCCTAGTGTATACTTTAGGGTCGTAAAATCCAAATAATTTAATTCATAATAAATTAATAAAGAAAGTATATTTCATTACACCTGACATCACTTTTGCCAAATCTCTCAATGTGATTTACAAGTACTGCTGGACTAAATATACATTTACATTGATATCAAGCAAGTAGGAAAGCAAGTGAAGGAAAAAGATGTATATGGTAACAACGTTTTTGATTAAACCCATATATTATGGTCTGATGCACTTAAATATAAAATGAAATCTCCCCATATGTGTCCCATAATGACAACATGCTTAGTCACTAGGCAATAGTAGCTAAGTGGTATTTCTTTCTTTCTAAACACATTCAACCATATGAACATCTACACAACGAAAGCACTCCAATCATATGCATTTTCGACTGCCTCCAGAAGTGGTCAAGCTCAAAACCTTTTAGAGCGTGTTTACAC